ATATGTATTTTTTATATATTTGGTGTGTGACAATCTTAGAGTTTTGACCAACGAGGGAGACCAAGGGTTTAAAGGTATAACATAGGGTTTTATCTATGCACAAAGAAAACTTTGGATTACACCTTGGGTTTGAGTGATTCATATATTGAGAGTTGAAGAGGTAGGGAAACACTTAGGTAGAAAATAGGGTTGTTCTTGGGCACCTTCAGGGTTGTTCTTGGGAACCTGAAGGCAAGATTTTTTTCTTGTAACTCATCTGTAATCTCTTGTAACAACATTTTGAGTATAGTGAATTGGAGAGCTGCTCTCTCCCCAGAGTAGATCGTTGGATCGAACTAGGTAAATAAACCTTCAGTTTTTTCTTGTCTTATTCTGTTATATTATCTATATACGGATTATTATTGCTGAAGACCATTTATTATGGTTGCTATTGTTCTTTGTCTCACAAATTGATTTTGAATTTTGTCGTAATTCAGAACAAGATTCACAACAAAGTAAATAAAAAAAAATGTTTGCGCGTTAAGTAATAGATGTCATCACGGTTCTTCGTAGCATTAACTATGAGGTTTTTATATATACATTTTGTAGTAGTGAGACTCTGTATTTACTTTCTAACACTGTACCAAAGACTATTGTTATCTATGTGCAACCGCCATTTCCATTTCCCAAATAGGGCTGAATTGAAAGCCTTTAAATTTTTAATCATAAGCCCCTCATCTTTTTTACGACATATTTTATACCATTGATATCAACATGGTTTAAAGTCAAGATGGAGATTGTTGTAAATGTGTCTTAAAAACATTTGTTGATGAAGAGAAAGGAAACATATTTTGGAGATTGCATTTACCGCGAAAATCAGAAGTTTTAGAAAATCGGAAGAAAAGCCGGAAAAAAAAATTGGTCTATGAATAATGTTATCGGTACGGATAAATAGTGACGTCCGTATGGATGAATAGTGTGCCTGTACGATGAATAGTATTTTTGAGCTTTCGGGGTTTTTCGATTCGATCCATGGATCCATGTGATTTTGGGATTTGTTTGTGTGATATTTGTTATTATAAATATATATTTTTTATATGTTTGGTGTGTGACAATCTTAGAGTTTTCACCAACGAGGGAGACCAAGGGTTTAAAGGTATATCATAGGGTTTTATCTATGCACAAAGAAAACCTTGAATTACACCTTGGGTTTGAGTGATTCATATATTGAGAGTTGAAGAGGTAGGGAAACACTTGGGTAGAAAATATGGTTGTTTTTGGGCACCTTCAGGGTTGTTCTTGGGAACCTGAAAGCAAAGACTTTTTTCCTTATAACTCATCTGTAATCTCTTGTAACAACATTTTAAGTACAGTGAATTGGAGAGTTGCTCTCTCCCCCAAAGTAGATCATTTGGTCGAACTGGGTAAATAAACCTTAAGCTTTTTCTTGTCTTATTCTGTTATATTATCTAGGTACGGATTTTTATTGCTGAAGACCATTTATTTTGGTTGCTAGTTATTGTTTTTTGCCTCACAAATTGATTTTGAATTTTATCGTAATTCAGAACAAAATTTACAACAAAGTAAATAAAAAAAAATGTTTGCGCGTTAAGTAATAGATATCATCACGGTTTTTCGTAGCAGTGTGATAACTATGACGTTTTTGTATATACATTTTGTAGCAGTGAGACTCCGTATTTACTTTCTAACACGCTATACCAAAGATTATTTTTATCTATGTGCAGCCGCCCATTTCCATTTCCCTAATAGGGCTGAATTGAAAGCCTTTAAATTTTTAATCATAAGCCCCTCATCTTTTTTACGACATATTTTATACCATTGGACCTAGTTAATTTTCCTAGCCTCCAATCCACCACCCCATAGAAAATTTTTAAATGAAGATTTGAGTTTAAAAATTATACCTGGCAAAGCTTTGAAAAAAGAAAAAAAGTAGACTAGCAGAGCGAGTAAAAATGACTTTAACAAGACAATTCTTCCTCCAATCGAGATATGGTTATTTACGATTCCACCCGAATAACTTATTTATGACAGTGTCCACAATTGGTTTCCAGAACCCTTCTTCTCTACGCGGATCTCCTCCAATCGGCAGCCCCAAGTATTTGAAGGGTAATGATCCAATTCTATAATCTAGAACCGATGCTGCTTCTTCTATCCAACAAAGAGGCTCTTGTGGAAGTTATTCTTTAACCCAGACACCGATTCAAAGAGTTGCAACACTATTTTAATGGCTCAAACATTTTTCCAACTTCTTACTCCTACTATAATTGTGTTATCCACATCCTGTTTAATGTGACACCAAGGTTTCTTCATAATCCAAATCGATAGCCATCAAATAGGTTCTGCTGAACGACTTTTGACATTAGAATATTAACTTTTTACTGTCATTAGAAAAAAAAGATACAAGATCACCTTGTCTGAATCCTCTTTCCATTCTAAATTGATGCTAAGGATTATTGATTTTCACTAACACTAATAAACTCCCACGAGTCCAATCAAAATACACACTCTTAAAAATCTATGAATAATGTTTCATTAATTGGAGCGACAGTTCTGATCTCTTTGATAGCCTTTTAAGTTTTTTCTAATATTGAATTGATTAATTTGAAATATTAATACAGACGGAAGAGTTTGAGACTAATTTAATTGTTTATTTTGAAAAGAAAAAACAAACTAAATTACATTAAAAGTTAGTGAAAAAGCTATTTTAATTAAAATTTATATTCAATCGTGTAGAACAAGGTGGAACGGAATGTTCAGAAAACTCCATGTAGCTAGGATCCTCATCCTCTAACTTTTCAAATGCTGTTTGGAACTTCTCAGCAGCATCCAACATCAAGTAAGTGGAATTCCATCGTGTGGAAACATCAAGGCCAAGTTTTCTTTTACATGTTATCCCTATAATTTCTATACATTCATTAAACTTCAAAGCTCTTTGTGGTGAGGACCTCACAAACCTAACAACATCGCGAACACTTTCAATAGCCAACTCATGATCTTTTTGTCCATCTCTCACAACCAAGTTTAAGATATAGGCAGCACACCTCATATGCAAAAAACTCCCGATACCAATTAAAGAATTCTTGCTCTTAAGTCTTTTTCCCAAGTAAGAAACAACTATATCATTACATGTTGCGTTGTCAAGGGTAATTGTTGACACTTTTCTAAGCCCACATTCCTTCAAAACATCTTCCATTTTTTTTACCAATGGTGTCACCCTTGTGATTTGGAACTAAACTAAAACTAATAATCTTTTTATGATAGATCCATGCATTGTCAATGAAGTGTTCAGTTATGGCCATGTAACTAAGATTTTGAATTGAAGTCCAACAATCTGTGGTTAGTGCAACCCTAGCACAATCAGATTTAAAAAAGGCTTTAAGTTTTAACTTTTCGACTAGGTAAAGTTGAAAACAATCCCTAGCAACAGTCCTCCTTGAAGGGATAGTAATTTGTGGTTGTAGTTGTTTGCATAGTTTCTTAAAACCCTCACCCTCTACCACTCTAAAGGAATGCTCATCAAGAATAACAAAGGAAGTAATAGCCTTCCTACATGCTTGAGAATTGAACCTTTGGCTTGTTGAACCTAAAAAACCAGCATCACCACTTACAAGGTTTCTTTGTGTGGGATCTTTCTGTAAAAGGTTAGGGTTTTTGTGACACACTTTTGAGTGAGCTAACATGTTGGATGTTCCATGTGTTTTAGGGTCGCATCGGTATCTTTTGTGACAATGTTTACACGCGGCTATTGGTTCAGGTTCATCAGGTAAAATGTTAAAGTCTAACCAAACAGAGGAAGCTTTCCTAGTTCCACTAGCATTAACTTGTCTTTTTTTCCTAGCAGGGGGAACGTGAGGATGTGTAGATTCTACTTGTGTAGGTTCAACATGGGAAACAGGATGTTCTGGCACTGAAAATATTTGGGTAAACTAAAAGAATTAATCCTATATTTTGACATACTAAACAAGGTAACACTTTTAAACACAAACACATACCTTGACTCAACCCTTGCAAACTAGCATTTTCAGCACCTTACAAGCTCCCTTCTTCATCTCCTTGCAAGCTTCCTTCTTCAATTTCTTGCAAGTTCCTTTTTCCATGTTCCATCTTCCAATAATCAAAACAAATCAAACAATAAGGAAAAATAGCATGAACAACAACATTTTTGAATAAATAAAAAATATAGATTGAGAGATTGAGAAATGGAGCGAAATAGAAAGAAAACAAAGATGAGTGTATAAAAATTTACATGACAGATCGGTGTTGGCGGTGAAGTGTTCCGTGGTGGTGATGGTGTTAGCTTGAGGTTGAGAGATTTTTAGGGTTAATGAAAACCGCGCTCTGTTGTTGTTGTTCTGTTGTAGAGGATGAAAGTGAAACCCTAGACACGAGTAGAGAAAATTTGAATTGGGAATAGTAGCATATTGAACCGGTCGGTTTCGGATTTCACTGGATTGAAAATAATCAACCGAAACCGCCCAACCGAAATCATGTGAATCCAACATTTGTCAAACCGATAAACTAAAAATCGATCCAATCAAACAGTTTCTTCATAAGCCATACGAACTGGTCGGATTGGACCGATTCTACAATTTTCTATCCAGCGCTAATGCTAAGGATGATTGGTTTTCACTAACACTAATAAACTCCTGTATAAATAACAGCAAGAGTCCAATCAAAATACACACTCTTAAAAATCTATGAATAATGTTTCATTAATTGGAGCGACAGTTCTGATCTGTTTGATAGCCTTTTAAGTTTTTTCTAATATTGAATTGATTAATTTGAAATATTAATAGAGACGGAAGAGTTTGAGACTAATTTAATTGTTTATTTTGAAAAGAAAAAACAAACTAAATTACATTAAAAGTTAGTAAAAAAGCTATTTTAATTAAAATTTATATTCAATCAATTCTAAACAACAACACCATAATACAAACGGCAAAGCAACCCTACGTTATTGGAAGCTAGCTAGTTTCTCAAAAACACAAACTCATTCATCCATGGCTTCCAACACAGAATTAAAATTCTTCTTCTCCTCCATAACCCTTTTTACAATCTTCCATAGTTTTGCAACAAACTCTTATGCACAAGACCCTAATTTTCTCTACCAAGTTTGCTCAAAATACAGAATCACACCCAACAGCACCTACCAAATAAACCTCCAAACCCTCTTATCTTCCTTATCTTCCAAAGCAACCCAAAACACCCAATTCTTCAACAACACCGTCGCCAGCAAAAACCATTCCGAAGCAGTTTACGGACTATACATGTGCAGGGGTGACGTCCCTTCCTCCCTATGCTCCTCATGCGTTGGAAACGCAACCCGAAGACTCTCCACAAACACAGAGTGTTCATTTTCTGTTGCAGCAGTTATGTACTACGACGAATGCATGGTTCGGTATTCTAACCATTCGTTTTTCTCTACCGTTGCAAGAGTAGCTGGCTATGTTCTGTCAAGTCCCACAAATATGACAAACCAAGAAAGCTTCAACCGTTTACTGTACGAAACGTTGAACAAAACTGCAGATGAAGCTTCTTCGAAGAAATTTGCTACAAGAGAAGCGAAAATAAATATATTTCAGAATCTTTACTGTTTGGCTCAGTGTACGCCTGATATTGATGAAAGAGAGTGTAGAAGTTGTCTTGATGGTTTGATAAATTCGGATCTTCCACGATGCTGTGCAGGAACTCAAGGAGGAAGAGTTTTATATCCGAATTGTGTTATCAGGTTTGAAATTTCCCCTTTCTACGGTTCTCTTACTTTGCCACCAACACCAGCTCCGGTTCCATCAGCAAAATCCGCAGGTAAATTTCAAAACTATAATTGTGTAAAGCTTTTGGTGGCAGGTTTAATGGCTCAAGGGATAACAAGAGTCGTAATTAAAAATCTTTTAATTAAAAATAAATGAGTTGCGTATATGGACGGTGTAACAATTATTTTTTAAATTGACTACACTTTTATATTTTGTTAGTATGATAAAACTTTTAATAATCAAAAACAAATAACACTACAACAAGGACGTAAACGCAAGGACTTCAAATTTTTAACAAAAAATTCAAGGTCCTCCATATGACACTTTATTTTGTAGTGTGAAATAACATAAGTTAATTTGTTGTGTAGAAAATAAAAATGGAAGATCGCGAACAGCAATCATTGTTGTCATAGCCATTGTTGTTTTGGCAATAGTCGTTGCTATTTGTTTCTACTGTCTAAAGAGAAAAGCGAGAATAAGCAGGTCCAATATTCTACTCCAAGAAAACTGTAAGCCTCGTATCTAAATAAATCTCTTTATCAAATAATCTCTTCTCTTATACTATTAATTATACTTAAAGATTTAATTTTTAAAATCATTTAAAATTGGTGCATATAAAAATTAGAGGTGGAAATAGACTCGATCAAGTAGAACTTTACATTAAAAAAACTATTAGTTTATGTAATTTTTTCAAGGTTTAAAAATTTAAAAATTGTATATGAATAGAAGGACCGGACCAATTATATCTAATGATAACAAGCATTTAAAACTTAATCTAATAATCATAGTTAAGTCGTAGACTTGTCAATAGCAAGTCTTGAAACAAAGGCTCTTAAACAATATTTTATATATTTATAGGAAATTTTTAATTAAAAAGACTTACTTTTTTTTTTCTTTTGAATATTATTGTTTTTAAATTATCAAATATGATTGTTTATAATTTTCATATATAAAATCAACATGTACACTTAATTTATAAATTAATATAATATATAAGATTATATATAAATATATCGGTATGATAAGATTAATAAATTTTTCTATGAGTTTTAATCATGTCTATTTAAAATAATAATCTTTTAAAAATGTCTTAAATAGTTTAGTGATTAAAATTCACCTTTTAAAAATAAATAATTAAATTTGAATTTGCACTCCAACATTTGATGTCTCTATGTCTCTGTGTAGATATCAATTGAACTAGCTTTCCGGGACAAATAAATTTTTAATTCTTTTCTTTTTAAAATTGGACTCTGGTTTCTTTATCTTACAATCATTATTAATGGTATGATAGGAAAATGACAACACTCCGACCTACATACAAATAGGAGATTAAATGTTAATTTTAAATTGTTTCGTTAAACCAACATCATTCTATTTATTCATCTTTAAAAAATTGAATTTTAACAATTAAACTATTTGAGAATAAAAATATTTTTGATCAAAACAAATCAAAAGTCCAACTAAGCAAATTTCTTTTTTTTTAATGTTTTCATGTCTTATTATTTCCTTAGAATTTTTATGTTAAACTTGTAAGCTTCATGAAGTTTCCAAACTAATTAATTCAACAATTCAAACACATATTGATCAAGTTGGTCATGAAAGTACCACTTTGGAGGGGTTACAATTTGATTTAGCCACTATTGTTGCGGCAACAAACAATTTCTCCCACGACAACAAGATTGGAAAAGGTGGATTTGGACAAGTTTACAAGGTAATTCAAGTTTTCTCTTTTACAATCATGTTTCCAAAACATGTATAATGGTTTTTATATGTATATTTAGGGCACTCTTCGTGATGGACGAGATATAGCTGTTAAAAGGCTTTCAACAAGTTCCACACAAGGTTCAACCGAGTTTAAGAATGAGATTTTATTGATAGCTAAGTTACAACATAGAAATCTTGTGGCCTTGATAGGTTTTTGTCTAGAGGAGCAAGAGAAGATTCTCATCTATGAATATGTCCCAAACGGAAGTCTTGATTATTATCTATTCGGTAAGTAAACTTTAGAATTTGTCTTTTAATATTATCATGCATGAAACCAAGTGATCCATGTCTTTTGCATGGGAGGAGATCCTCTCCCGTCACATTTATCTCAAGTTGAATATGGACTCTATTTTATTCATGAAGAGTTTCACTAGAGAGAATCCATGTCCCTTTTTGCACTATTTCATTACTTTATAGATTTGAGCTATTCAATATATATATATATATATATATATATATATATATATATATATATATATATATATATATATATATATATATATATATATATATATATATATATATATATATATATATATATATATATATATATATATATATATATATATATATATATTAATATATATATATATATATATATATATATATATATATATATATATATATATATATATATATATATATATATATTAATTTGACAGTTTGGTTGATGAATTATAATATAGTTTAATTGATGTATAGCAACTATTTAGAACTTTGAACTACAAGATTTGTGAATAGTGAAGAGAGAGAGAGAGAGAGAGAGAGAGAGAGAGAGAGAGAGAGAGAGAGAGAGAGAGAGAGAGAGAGAGAGAGAGAGAGAGAGAGAGAGAGAGAGAGAGAGAGAGAGAGAGAGAGAGAGAGAGAGAGAGAGAGAGAGAGAGAGAGAGAGAGAGAGATGATTGCATTAACCAACTATAAGAATGCCTCCAAAACATTTATACATGTGTTACAAAATGATTGGAATCTAAAATATACAAATATATAACTGAAAAATACAAAAATTCGGATCTCTAACTGGTTACACTAATCTTGTAACCGGCTACAACTAACATTAAAATAATAATACTTTCAATGGTAACTAGTTAACCTTAGATGTTAATCGGTTACATCCTCGAAGATTTCAGTTTTTCTACAACTTAGAAGTGCTTTTGGTCTTGCTATGACCGGTTACAACACTTAAATTACTCAAATCATTTTTAACACACCACCTTAATTCAAGTGTTCCAATTCTTCCATGCTCATGTTTATCTTCAACCTCTTGAACACATCATTTTGCCTCCCTTAGTCAACAAATCAGCCACTTGGTATTCACTTTTGCAGTATCTCAATCTTAATCTTCCTTCACTAACAAGCTCCCTCAAGTAGTGAAACCTCATCTTAATATGCTTGTTCTTCCGTGAGCAATTGGGTTCTTAGCAAGATTACTCGTGGAAATGTTAGATCTAATCGGCCTCCTATATTGAGTAGGATCAATATCTTGTTCATCCTCATTCTTCGACAACTGTAGTCTTGGTTTAGCCGGAGTAATGGTAGCATTACAATGCTCCATTTCAAACTTTTGCAATATCTCAAGTGCATATCTTCTTTGGTGCATGAGAAGTCCTCTTTTGGACTTGTGAAACTCAACGCCATGAAATTATGTCATGAGGCCAAGGTCGGGCATCTCAAACTCATTCATAAGTTCACTCTTGAACTTTAAAATGCACTTTCCATTGCATCCCGTTATAAATAATTCGTCTACATATAGACAAAGGATAATCACTTATTCGCTTGTATCTTTCTTCTCGTACACTCCATGCTTAGATACACATTTCTTGAAGCCAATCCCCCTTTAGAAAACCATCTATGATTTTGTTCCAAGCTCTTGGAGCTTTCCTTAAACCATATAACGCTTTATTTAACTTGTAGAACTTTAGATTTTGGTTTCTTACAAAAAAAAGGGGTTGTTCTACATACATCTATTATTCAAACGGTTCGTTCAAAAAAGCAGATTTAACGTCCATTTGATAGATGGGTCAATTGTTGTTATTCACAATATCAATAACTATCCTTATGGTTTCAATCCTAGCAATCAGTGCAAATACCTCTTCAAAGTCTATGCCTTTTTTTTTTGCAAGAATACATTTGTAAATAACCGAGCCTTATGCTTGATTATTTCACCCTTGAGATTTGCCTTTACTTTGAAGACCCATTTTACACCAATTGGCTTCTTTTTGTGCGGTAAATTAACCAACTCCCAAGTATTTATCTTTTCAATGGATTTTAGTTCCTCCTTCATAGCACAAATCCACTTTGTATCACTTAAAGCCTCTTCCGTATTGACGGGTTCAAATTCGGTCATAAGTGAAAAATGGACAAAATCACCATCATCACCGGCTTCGTTGTCTCAGAACATCTCAGAATCTTGGTGTCTTTGAGGAAAACCTTTTTTCCTTGTTGATCTTATGACATTCCCTTCAATTCGGGCCTCAGCAACGGGAGTTTTTGCACTTTCCGTTTCTACATAATATGAATTTTCATAGTTGTAACCGATTACAACTTTTACGTAACTGGTTATCGGCTACTGCAGCCCTTTGATTTCGTCAACAATGACGTATCCGTTGATTTCTTTACTGCATTAAACAACTTATAACCACTGGTAGAGTGATACCCTACAAGTATCATCACTTCTCCTTTATCATCCAGCTTCTTTCTAAGTTGTCCCAGAACATGTTGAATCCATTCTTGATCACAAAATATCTCAAATTCTTTTGAGACATATTCGCCTCCACAATCTGTTTTGAGCACTTTGAGTTTGTGACCACTTAACCTTTAAACAATGGACTTGAACTTTTTAAACACTTCAAATACCTCATCCTTTCTCTTGATTAGGTATGTCCATAAATTTTTACTATGATTGTCAATGAATGTGACAAAATATTTATTGCCACTAATGGAATCTTCTTGCATCAATCCACACATATCCGATGTTGATCAATGGCAAGCTTGTTACCATTCTGTTCTTTTCCAAGTCTTTGAGATCTCAGAAATTGAGATGCCAAGACAATAGTGTCATATCCACTCTTCTCGATTTGTCGTTGTAGCAAGACATATATGCTCCATAACCTTCAGCTCAACCTTGAAGGTTCTATTGGCATCCATAGGAGTTTTAAGGACCCAAACCTCATTTGCATCCATAACGTGCAACCTCTTATTTTTCATGTGAATCTTATAATCCTTCTTAAGAAATTAATCAATACTTAAAAGGTTAATTTGATTCGTAGAATGTATAAAACATCTTTGACCAAGAAATGTACACCATCCTTCTCATGATCAAAACGTCACCGATCTCATCGGCCACTAGAGTGGTATCATTTGCGAACTTTGCTTTGTTCTTCATGGCACGATTGATTTTAACAAACAAATACTTCCTCCCCATCATATGAGTAAAGTATCCCGAGTCCAAATACCATTTCTCGCTACACTGAATTTCTTTCGTACTCATTATTGCATTTTCTTCTGCATGTAATATGTTGCTACCTGTTTTTGCAGCATTCCTAGAATTGTTGATGCTGCTGCATTCTCCTTCCGTGATCATGATCAAAAGTGTTCTCTCTTCATCAAACTCTTATCTTAGAACTTTGGTTTCATATATTTGAGGTTCCTTCTTGTTCACATTGCACTCTTTTACAAAATGACCAAACCCATGACTTACTATCTAAAGAAGCAGGTAATCAAGGATTGCCAAATTAAGCAAAACCACTCTTAGATGTTGAATAATATCTTGAAAACAAGAGATAAAGAAGAGCAAACCAAGAATTGGGATGAAGCGAACCATCATGGTAGATACCACACAGTTGGCATGTAAAAAGACTGAATAGGAGATAAAGCTCTTGGTGCCTTGAAAAAGCTATACTTCACAAACTATGCAAGACCTAGAGCTTCATTCATACTTTGGTTAACTCTCATGGGAAGGCTTAACAGAAAATATAGAATTTCTAAATTTGTAATAATAATTGATGGAATTGGCAAGTTTTGTGATTAGAGTGAAATTGTGGATCATCTATTTTTTTTATTGTAACATTATTAATAAAATTTGGAACACTATGTTGGATTGGATATGTTACAAGAGAAAGCCCACAATCTGGCCACATGAAAAAAGTTGGTTGATAGAAGAAACAAGTAAGAAAGGATGGAAAATAATGCTATTAAAAATGGTAAGCGCTGAAGCTATTTATGATATCTGGAAAGTTAGAAATGAAACAATTTTCTCCCAGACTAGTATGGATTTGAAAATTATAGAGACTATCAAATATAGTGTAGTCATGAGGAGTATCAAGCATAGAGCTCTTAAACCCCATGTAAACAGTAGAACATTATGCATTGAATAGGTGTTAGAGTTTGTGTATAATAGTCATCTTTGTTGTGTTGGAATCCTGGATCCTATTTGAATCGGTTGTATCATTTGTTTTTTGGCAATGAAAAGTCTTGTTTCCAAAAAAAAGACTGAACCTTTAACACGCAAAGCACTGCTCCTTGCTTTTGTCAAACCTCTACTTTTCATCTCTAAAGTTATATTGACCACCATTTCTGTTGCAGCTGCTCTCACCCCTTTGACAAGTCGAATTCTTAAAATTTTGGGTCTTTCTTCCACCAAAATTCTGAAAAATCCTTTTACTTTTCATGGGCCATTTTATTTTCAATCTCTTGTCCTTCTCGTTGAAGTGAGTTTGTAAAGTGATCTTCGCCTTTGCCTTATTATTATTTCACTCCTCCATCCTTCGATACCTCAAGTTGCCACAACTACATTGTCAAATCTTGGTGTTAAAGAATGAAAACATTTTGTAACAACATACTGCTATGTGACTGTTTCTCCCTATTCCTTCACTTGATTCACCAATTGAGTGATTTTTGTTGTGAATTTGTTGATTGTTTTCTTTTCCTCCAATTTAATTAATTGAAGTTGACATTTGTGAGTTTGTAATCTCACCACCTTCACCTTGTAAACCCCTGCATAGGCCTTCTCTAAGATTTCTCAAATTTGTCACCAACAACACATTGATGGATCAAAAATAGCTCCTTGAAATCTTTCTTCTTCTCTTCCTTATATGTTGCTTGTTGTGCATCTGTCACACGTTGGACAGGGGGAGTCACCACGCTTTTTTTTATCACTACAAGAACATCTTGATAGCCAAACAATGAAGAAAAAACTTAGAATGTGGAGAGTGAAAAAGAAAAGGGGTGTGTGTGTGTGTGCGAGAGAGAGAGAGAGAGAGAGAGAGAGAGAATTGAATTAATCAAAGATGAGAATGCCTCCAAGGAATTTATAAAAGTGTTACAAAATAATTAGGACCTAAAACATACAAATATATAACTGAAAAATGCAAAAACTCGAGTCTGTAACCGGTTACACTAATCATGTAACTGGTTACAGCTGACATGAAAATATTAATACTTTCAATGGTATCCGAATAACCTCAGATGATAATCATTTACGCCCTTGAAGATTTTATTTTTTCTACATTTCATAAGTGTTTTTGATCTTGTTGTAACTGATTACACCGTCGTGTTAACCGGTTACCGCACTTGAATTACTCAAATCACTTTTAATAGAACATAATTTTAAAAATAATTATAATAATATAATAGTTATAATTGACTTATAGTTTTTTTTTTTTTTTAATTTTTTCAGGTAACCAAGATCAGAAGTTAAATTGGTCTGAACGATATAAAATTATTGAAGGAATTGCTTTAGGAGTTCTTTATTTACATGAGTATTCTCGACTTAAAGTTATACACCGTGATCTTAAACCTAGTAATATTTTATTAGATGAACGTCTGAACCCTAAAATTTCAGATTTTGGCATGGCTAGAATAGTTAACATTGACCAAGATCGTGGTAAAACCAATAGAGTTGTGGGAACATAGTAAGTTTCGAATTCTATAGTATTATATTATTGTGTCACTTTTTCAAGTGGTATGTTTTAGCTAATTTATATTTTATTCATATAGTGGTTATATGTCTCCGGAATATGCAATGCTCGGAGATTTTTCAGAAAAATCAGATGTTTTTAGTTTTGGAGTAATGGTCATTGAGATAATCACCGAAAAAAGAAACGCAGAGTCTTATGAATCAAATCACGATGGTAAAGGCCTCTTGAGCTATGTGAGTGTGATATCTAACTTTTTTTTTTTTTTTAACTAAATCTTATGGTTTAAAATTTAAATATAAAAATATAGTCATTTGAGTTTTATTTAATAAATTGTGGCAGGTTTGGAGACAATGGCATGAAGAAACATTGTTGACTGCAATGGATCCATATATTAAAGAAAAATATTCTGAAATTGAAACTATGAAATGCATTCAAATTGGTTTATTATGCGTCCAAGAAAATCCAAATGCTAGACCTACAATGGCAAGAGTGGTTTCATATCTTGCTAATCACTCAGTTAAACTGCCATCTCCACAAGAACCGGCTTATGTGGCGTATGGAATGGATCAAATTAGTGTTGCACAGCAGGAGTCTAGCTCGGGCCAATCTGCTAGTAGTTCTAAACCATACTCAGTTTATAACATGTCAATAAGTACATCTATTCCTCGTTAAAAATTAATGACCATTCACATGTATATAAAATTGCATATGGATCTATGTTTGTGGGAAAAAGTTTGATTATACTCCTTATGTTGTTGATGTCATAGAAAGAGATATGAAAATAAAATAGTGTTGAATAGTTGTTTGGAGCTGTGACATGTTCATGTTTGGAGCTGTGACAACCTACAATGCAGATTGATTGTTATAACTTTTTTTTAAAAATAATTTTTACGTATATTTGTTTAGTAAAGTGATTGTTATACTTTTAAATAATCAATGTTGGTTTTGCTCCGTGGCCGACATTTGTATGGTGAAGCGGTGAAATTTTGATCAATCATATTAAATAATCAATTATTATGTTTTTTTTAGGGATGACAAAATGGATGGATTTGATGGATATGGATTGGATTGTTAATGGATAGATTAAAACAATCTATTAGTCCATTAACAATCCACCAAATATTTTTTAAAATTATCCAATCAAATCCATCTATTAAGAATAAAATTCATCAAATCCATCCATTAACATATTTTTAATGGATGGATATTCATCCATCCAACTTTTTTTTTATTTTATAGAAATAAACGTATTTTTTTATTTTTAAAAATTGATTTTATTTTATTTTTGAAAATTTTATTTTTTATTTTTTTAAAAAAAAGTTTTTTTAATATATTCATGAAAAAAATTGATTTTTTTGTTTAAAAAACAAATCATTTTTTGTATTTTCAAGAAAAAGATATTTTAATTTTTGAAAAATATCGATTTTTTTTCAAAAAAAAAATGGTTTTTTGTTCGGAAAAAAATCATTTTTTTCCGAAGAAAACCGTTTTATTAAAAAAAATCAATCTTTTTTCGGAAAAATTCCAGTTTTTTTATTGGAAAAAAACAATTCTTTTCTTTTAAAAAATCTATTTTTAATTATTTTTAAAAAAATTTATTTTTATTTATTTTTTAAAAAATAAAAATAATTCATTGGATCCATAAAATATGTTGGATGGATTGAATCCATCCATGCATATAAGTGGATGTATTTAATCCAATCCTTTAACTTATTTTTTATGTGGTGGATGGATTGGATGGATTTTGCTTTAATTAATGAATTCAATTGCCACCTCTAGTTTTTTTATGGTATAAACATTTTATATTAGGGTTTATGGCGGTGCAAGAGTTTTGTTGTCATGAATCGTACAATTAGGTTTGTAATGGCCCATGAGTTATGTAATTAGGGTTTGTAAAAATGTATCAAGTGTTTATACAAAACAAAATGTTGAGAGATGCTTTGTCATCAAGGGGAAGGCGGAATTTGGTTATATGTTCTTAACAAGTATAATAGATTTTGACGAAGCCAAAAGAAATAAAGTTAAATTATCATAAGCATCAAGAAGTTATGTTTAATATATGAAAGATTAATTTTTGAGGTGTTAAGGTGATGCACATTGTACTTGCTAAAAAAGTACAAATGCATATCAACCCTTGACTTGTAAAGATTTTTAGAGGCTTTAGTATTTCTGCGGAGTTAGAAGAAACTCACAAGTGTGATAAGCTCTATTTTAGGGGTGTTTCCTGTCAATATGAGATTGATTTCTTCCTCAGTCGGACTGAGGTATTTATAGAGGCTCTATTGAACCTGAATTACAAAGTTAGTGGGAGGTTATACCCTAGCATTTTTCCTAGTGCCAATTCTTTTTCATTGAGTATCGCTTCTTAAGGGTGCAATAAAATTATACCAACACACATACACACAAAAGAATTTTAAATCTTCATCTATTTCAAAATTCTTCCTAAAACCAAACATGGCTTTTGTCTAATCAATTATGATGTGTCCAAACCAATGAGAAATGCAAAGTTTCATTGTCTAATCGATTAAAGCTTGCATATAATCATTTAGTGAGAAAGTCTATTTCATAATGTATTAGGAAAACTTTTAATCAATTAGAATGTTCTTCTGGCTAACTTATTTTCTTATTTTCTAGGTTTTATTGATTAGCGTTGCAACCTAATCGATAAGAGACCGGAAAAAGTCCATGGATTATGTCCTTTTTTACCCAAATATTTTTTTCTATATAAAGGAGTTTTGTGCACTCTTTCAAAATACGGAAGTTTGATTAACTACTTTCTATTCTCACTCACACTCTTACCATAAATAGTTTGTATTCATTATATATTACTTTATTGATAAGAGAGTGAAAGGTTTATACTGGGATTTATGTAGTTATGTTATTGAGTTGAAATTTAATTCCATAGCATGGTCATCTTGTACCTTTGCAATTGACTTGGAGGTTGAAATCTAAACATGGGAAAAACCTTGGTGTAAGGAAGGTTGTTGGGATGATCTTAGTATAAAAGCTTAAACTTTTTTAGTGGAAATCTCCAGAGGAAATTCTAGTGGACAAAATCATGTTGTGTGGTTTAAGTTCGAACCAATATATTCATTGATTAGCATTGCAACCTAATTGATAAGAGAGCGGAAAAAGTCTATGGATTGTTTCCTTTTTTAGCAAAATATTTTTTTTCTATATAAAGGAGTCTTGTGCGCTCTTTCAAAACACGAAAATTTGAATAACTACTTTCTTTTCTCATTCACTCTCTTATCAGAAATAGTTCGTATTAATTATTTTTTAATTTAGTGATGAGAGAGTGAAAGATTTATATTGAGAGTTGTGTAGTTATGTTATTGAGTTAAAACTCAATTTTCTGAGCATAGTCATTTTGTACCTTTGCATTTGACTTAGAGGTTGAAATCTAAATATGGGAAAAAATTGGTTTAAGGAATGTTGTTGGGACAATCTTGCTGTAAAAGGACAAACGTTTTCAGTGAAAATCTCAAGAGGAAATTCTATTGGACAAAATTATGCTTCGTGGTTTAAGGTCGAACCAATATAAATTTTGGTGTGATCTTTCAATCTCTATATCAGTATTTTATGTATTTTATTTTTCATAGCTTAATCTCTACTTCTACCCATTTCTTATAATCAATCAAACGTTTTGCAAAAAAAAAAAAAAACCAAATGACACAATTCAACCCCCTTTATTCTCTTTTGTTTGAAGTCACTTGGTCAACATAATTAGTCTCTCTCGATTGTAGTTACCTCCTTCTTTGCCACAATATGTAGATCCAAAATTACACCCACTTCTTCCTTGATGGACTGGATTGAAATTATTAAATTTTGTGTCTCTCCATTAGTTAAAGTTGCCACGTCCTCTTCCTCTAAAGCTTCCTTGACCTTCATCCCTAAATTTTCCTCTTCCACCATTGCTGAAATTTTCAAACCTCTACCTTCTCCTATTTGACTGAATCCAATGATGTTGTTGAGATTCACTTGACTCTTCAAAGCTTATTCTTTTAATTTTTTTTTGTCTTTCTTATTAATAATTTGTCTTTTACTTTCTTAATGTGAATACTTCCCATGCAAAATTTGAAGAAAGTAATAAGTTTTTTTGGTTACAAGGAGGGCTTTTACTCAAAGAGAAAAGCACTACACCATAACTAAATGAGGGACAAAATTCCCTAACACACCATAATTTAATAAAGGTTTAAATTGAATAGGACATGTGGCATACGGACACATGTCTTCAACGAGACCTATTCCACTTTTAGTTAATGCATCCGCTAAATGATTAGCCTCATGATAAACATGATTTACAACCATTTCTCAATCTATTCTAATAAATGCTCGAATCTTGGAAATCAACACCCCACCCATTATATTACAATAACTCATATTATTTATACCATTCACCATGCATTTTGAATCCACATTCACCCCAATAGCTCTCACTCACATTCTTCTAACTCCTTTAAGCCCTTTAAGAAATCTCCCTCAAAGTTCTGCTACAAAAATAATACAAACCCTTAAGATTTTTAGCAAAACCTCATATCCAATCACAATTACAATCTCTAATAACACCTCCATAACTAGCTATATCATTTACTAGACAAGATCCATCTGAATTCAGTTTGACCCACCCAATAGACGGTATTTTCCATTAAATCAAATGAATCTCATTTTGAATCCTTAAAGCATTATTCGCAATTGTTATAAAACTTCCATAATCACTCATAGTATTCACAACATAACCCATCGGATCATACAGACGAATGAAGTTCTTTTCATGAATTTCCTTATTTTGTCGTCCTCATATGCTATGACACGTTATAGCCTAAAAAACTTCCCAATCTCCACCTTCGTTCAACCCTATATTGTGATTCATATTATCTTTGATCCAGTGTTTAATATCCCCAACAAAGAAAATATTCCTCCAATTAGTATGTTTTGCAGTCAACCATAATGGCATAACTAGTAGACAGCCCCTAAAAACGTGAATCGTGTCTTACACCACGCTACCATCTCAAAACCCATCTCTAGAATAGGCACATGCATTTTCTTGAGGAGGAAGAATACTCACCATACAGTTTAGCACATTCTCAAACAACCAATTGTTCAAATCAAACCAATTCCACTCACCCTACCAGATAAGTGATTTTCACATTTTGCAAAGCATCTGGAATTTGAATGTTCAGATCTTGAATCCTTAACCCTAGATCAATCCAAATACTTGACCATGTATCACCAGTCTTACCGTCTCTAATCACCCAAACACAATTATTATTAATATCCGTCTAGCTCTTAACATAGTACTTTTAATAATTTATCATTAAAGAATGTGATACTTCCATGCAATCTTAACCCAACGTATCATTAAACATAACACAATAGTAATGGGCATAAATTATCTTTTAAAAAAAGGTGTTATATCTTGTTCCCCAAGAACACATGTTAAGGTGTAATTAATGTTAGTTGATTTCATCTATTTTATTTTGAAATATGTAATAATTAATTATATTAATTAACACATTAAAGTTTATGTTTGTTAGAAATGATTAGGGCAAAATTGCCCTTGATATATATACAACTTTTTATATTCTGAATTGAATGAAAATATTAAGAATCATTATAATAGTTCGCAAGGCAAATTTTTTTAATTAGTTTAAAATTGATTTGCTTTAAAT